TAGAAATCTAGCCAGCTTCAGAAATGGCTTCTTTTGAAAATAAGCTCAATATAAAGGAGGAATAAGTGTTTTAATGAGTTAGTACTACTTTAGTAAAAAGAGCAGTTGGAGAGATTTTAACATCTGAAATTTTATTGTAGGCCATAATTATAATGAAATTTATTTAGAAGGTCCATTACTTAGCTTGCTTTAGAATGATCCATTATATTTCTGTCCTTACTACAAGCATTTTCATTTTCTTTTGTCAAAATTTGGATGCATCTATCATATATAACTTGTTCCATCCAGTGTGATAACATCTCCTAGATTTATTTATCCTCTATTATACAGCTGAGGTGGTCTTCATATATGCACTAATAATATTTACATTTATAAAATGGAACACAGACATTCTGCTGCAGTGAAAGATCGTGAGGTCAACAAAACACTGAGTCTATCTAAGTTGACTGTGATGCAGTGAAATTCACAGATCTAGATATCTATCTTCTCATTGTGCAACTGAAGCCAAGATGTTACTTAGATAAAAAGTTTCTTCATTGTCTACCTTTTCAGTACTTAAAACAAAACAAAAACAAAAAAGAATGAGTACTACTTATTTGTTAGTTAAGATACTGAACACTTGTATAAACAATAAAGCGATAATTCTCACATGACCACAATCCAGGGTTCTTTTCTATATCAGTTTATCTGCTGAAGAATTTTTGCACAAAGTTAGTGAAACATCATTTTAGATTAGTTTGGAGATATATTTGTCCAAATATTACAATTATGTAGAGTTGTAACCAGACTGTTGGGCTCAATACAGCCATGTTTCCCCTCAACTAGGGGAACTCAACTAGAACATTCCCAGAAGCTTTAATATACAGAGAAAGGGCCATATGATGCTTTAACGATTTTTCCTTTATTACTAAATCTCTCTTTGGAGTCTATATAAAAAAAGATTTATTTTATACTTCCAAATTTAGGTTAAGAAATAAATGTATTATCATTGGGATTGAAGTCCCAATCCTTCAAAAGTATAAAACTTCCTGGCACAGTGAGTCTACATGTGTTGAACTTCAGAGTGTAAGAACTCCAACATATTGTAGTAGAGATTCTAGAAAGACCCATTTGATTAAAAAGGTTTCCTGGATTTAGCTATCCAGATTGAACAATAATTATTTGGAATTATTTGTTTATTGTTTATTATTATGATTTATCCTTGGATTTCTAGCACACATTTCTAAACAATTGAAATTTATTCTCCAAACATAAACATAAATTTGAATCTGAATTCCTGCTGGAGCTTTTGATTTTATCTACTGTTTTCCTTCAACCAAAACAGAACAATCCTGATAAAGAACTTCAAATGACATCCTTCTAAGGCAGTGGTTCTCAACCTTCCTAATGCCGCGACCCTTTAATACAGTTCCTCATGTTGTGGGGACCCCCAACCAGGGGTGGGTTCTAAATTATTTTACTATCGGTTCTCTGGGCGTGGCTTATTTTGTGGGCATGGCTTGGAGGTCATGTGACTGGGTGGGTGTGGCTAACTGGTCATGTGACCAGGTGGCCATGGCTATGTGTATAGGGTAAGGTGAACAGATTTTAACATTGGTAAGAAGGATACCATTGTGGGCGTGACTTATTGTGTGGGCGTGGCTTGGAGGCCATGTGACTGGGTGGGCGTGGCTAACCAGAGGGCTGAAAAAAGTCATTTCTGACAGGTCCTCGCACTTTTGACCGGTCTTCGCAGTTATGACTGGTCATCATTTATGCCCATTGTACCATTCTTAACAACCGTGTCACTCATTTCACAACTGCTTCTCTTCACCATGGTGACAAGATAGGACAAAAACATAAATTGTGAGGACAGTCGTAAGTTCGAGGACTGATCAAAAGTGCGAGGACCAGTCAAAAATAACTTTTTCAGCCCTCTGAGTAGTCCATATGCAGAAAAGGATACAGCAATAGAGAGGGATGAAGAAAGGGAAGGGAAATTAGAGTAGGAGTGAAGGTAAGAGAGGGAGGAAGAGAGGAGGAGAAGGAGAAAGAGGAAGTAGGGAGAAGAAGAAGAGGGGGGGAAGAAAAAGTAAGAAGGAAAGAAAAGACAGAGGTGGTAGGTTTGAGGAGAAAGATTGCTGTACAATAAAAAAGATGAAAGGGAAGAAAGCCAACCCCAAACAAATATTAAGATATTAAGATAAAGAATGAATTGTTAAACTTTAAAGAATAAAAGAGAACAAATAGGAATAAATAGCAATAATTAGAAACACACATACAAACATACAACATATTTTCTTTGAACAGAGTATTTGGCCGGTTCACAAATTTAAACAGTTGTAGGAGGTTAGCACCCACCCCTTTCCTAGAAGAATGAAATATTTTGGGAAATATTAAAAAGGCAGAATATTATATTTCCCTGGATGAGAAATGGAGAAGCATATTTTACAGACAAAGCAGCTCCCACCTTCCTGCCCTCCACCCTTTGTTAATGGGCCAGAGGCAGAAAGTCAGTCCTTTGTCAAAGGACATTTGCAACACAATAGCAACAGAAACTAACACAATGGGCCCCATCAAGCCATGTGATCCTGTCCACCATTAAACCATCTTTGCAAGCAGTCTCCATGTTTCCAGTGTCTTTTTCCTCACTTGGAGCAGAACCCAGAAGGATATTTCTTCCAACACAGTATTTAGTCATTTCAATTAAATTTACAATTTCTATATTTCCTTTTTACCATATTTATTCCTCATCTATTTTTTAAAAAAACCAATATTACCCTTAATCCTCATCTCTAATCTTAATCAAATTCAATTTTTCCCTTCTATTCTATATTATACCCCTTCGCATTGTCATCTATTTTTATATCCATCCTCACATTGGTTAATTATGTAATACAGTTGTTTAATACAAATTCAACATTTTAATATAAATCAATTAGTTATATAACTATCTTTTTTTGTATATTATTCATATAATATGAATATTCATTATGAATATTCAATATGAACATGAATATTCCAATTATTTCCATGCAATCCAATTTCTTACAAATCAATTAATTATATTTACCAATAATAATAAACCAATTAATTTCCCCCATATATTCCTCCAAACCACAACTTAACCATTTCTGCTTTCAACACAATATACAATTAATAGTATCTCAATTATTACAATTCCCTAGTTAAATAGAACTTTTTTTCTTTTGTGTTTTAAAATCTTGAAACTCCTCTTGCCCTAAATTTCCCATTGTTTGCAGTTTTGCACCTACCTTTTTTGGTGAGGAAAAAGAAAAAGAAATCTCTCTGCCTCATTTTGTCACATTGCAAGAAAGACCCTTCTTTACTTTCAATTTCACTTTACAGCATAGCTAGAGGGGAAAAAAATTGCTCCAGGAATTTACTTCTTTGCAGCTAGCTCTTTGAAGCCCCGCGGCAAGAATTTAAAGTTTTTTTTCCCTCTAGCCATCAGCTGGGACTCCGGAGGCAGCAATAGATTGGGAGTGGGCGGGGTAAACGAACGGCAACCGGGCGATCCAACAGAGGCAGAGGGTGAGGGTGAGTGAAGGCGTGGGGGGGGGGCGAGAGAGGGCTTTGGCGACCCCTGTGAAATGGCTGTTCGACCCCCAAAGGGGTCGCGACCCCCAGGTTGAGAACCGCTGTTCTAAGGTTTTACCAATATATCTTTGGAAAACTAGTAAATGGATCTAAATAACATTTACAGAAATGCTACTGATATTAGCGTTATTTCTCTAACATGGAATTTATATTTTATATTTGGATAGAATGTTGCATGCCTGTTGCCTGGAGTAACTTTTCAAAAAGTTCAGCACTTTTCCCTTTTCTCCCAGTTGCCCAATAATGTTATTGGACTAAACTCTTAGAAGTATTCATTACTTTCTCGTGGAAAGGGGTTTTTTTAGAGAGGGCTAGGTCAATTTTTTTTATTTCTTCCACAATCACAGCTCAAGCTAAGAAGTCACATTTGAAATAACCATTACCATTAGTATTAATTTTCTCATCGTTCCTATCACCCATCTCCTCCCACTTATGACTATGACTGTAACCTTGTTGCTGGTATCCTTAAGATTTATATTGTCTGTTTCCCTATGACTATCATTAAGTGTTGTACCTTATGATTCTTGATGAATGTATCTTTTCTTTTATGAACACCGAGAGTGTATGCACCAGGACAAATTCCTTGTGTGTCCAATCACACTTGGCCAATAAAGAATTCTATTCTATTCTATAAGAATTGTTTTAAGCTTGTACCCTAAACTATCTGTCAGATAGGTCTGAAGACTGTTTTTGTACAGCGTAAAGGTAATTGTTGCCCATGCAACAATTCCTTTTTGTATGATGTTGATATATGCCATCTGCATTTCCCAATATTGTTTTTTCAGTTCATCCTTCTACAGAAATGTTGTTTTGTAGATTTTGAAAAATAGACTCTAAATGCAGAACTTTCTGAAAACTTTAATCATTTTAAATTCACATTTATCCCATATGTGTTTGGGATAAACATCAATTCATCACAAGTACTGAAATACTTCAACATGTGACTTAATGCTAAAGAATCCCAGGAATTGGAATTTGGTGGGGTACTGAAAAATCTAAGTTAAAGTTTTAAAATTCTATTTGCTATCTTTACTTACTAGGATTCCCTAGGAAAAATGAATTGCTTTTAAATAACTTTAAAGATTGGGCATGGATAGGCCAGGTATAGTTGCTTCATGTTCTTTGATTGCATTTGTGAGTGTATGTTGCTAGCTTAGAATAAATATTGTGCAAAGGTACAATGCCAGGCTCCTGAGGAAAGGGTATAATCATATCCTTGATTTAAAAAAAACATGCATTTCTTATAATAAAATTATTTCATTTCCCAAATCTAGGCTTGATGAAATCCACATGCTCTGGTATTTTTAGGTTTTAGATAGTGGATGATGAGCTAAATCCCATAAGGTATTGACCCTAAGGTCTTGCCAATTCATCTCCAATTTTTGATGCCAGATACTAAGTTGAACAAACAGATATGAATGTTTAATTATTCATGTCTATAATTATCTTTCTTTACACGCAGAGACACTTCAATGTTGCCATTTTCAATTCATAATTCCACTTACTTTCTGCACAAAATTACTTTCCACTATTCTATTTTTCCAATCAGTACCCAATTTTTCTTTCTCTGTCACAAAGCCGAGCAAATCAGCCTGATTCTTCCAGGACTGGAACTCTGAAATCCAAAGAAATACGATGTAGTTCAAGTTTGCAATCTGAGTTTGGAGAGCAAAATAACCTAATGTGGACTATTTAAAACTTCAAATGGGAAAAAGAAACTAGTAAAAAATTATAATAAGAAAGCTGCTGCTTTATTTTTTTCCAGACATGGATGAAAATAAGAGGGTTAGCAAACCCTTAAGAGGACATTCATAATGCTCAGTTTTGGCCAGATATCGTAAAGGATTTCCACTATATTTTTGGTAAGGTTTTTTTTTTTTTTTTTGGCAAGGCAAGGCATAGATGTTGGTGTAAGTAAAGGACAGCACTGTAACCACCAAACTATCCAGCCAAAAGCCCAAGTTATTTTGGTTAATCAAAGCAGGAAATGTCATATCTTATCTTGAAAAATAAGAAATTTTAAAGAACTATAATCAATGAATTTTTCATTTGATTTTCTTAGTGCCAAACTTGGCATGACAATGAAGCTCAACCATCAATCTACTCTTATGGGATTTTTGTAACTTTGCTGCCTCTAAAACACTGGATTTTGCTTGCAGACAGAGGATTGTCTTAATTTATTGACAGGCTGGGACCTTCCAAGAAAGGATTCCATCATGTACATCTGTATCCATATATTTTTTGGATATATGTATTGGATTTTTTTCCTATGGAAATTTTTAAAAGCCCCTCTCACTTATAGGACTCAATTTTATCTTGCTCGGAAGACAAACCACATGTTTGTTTGTTTGTTTGTTTGTTTGTTTGTTTGTTTGTTTGTTTTAAATATTTATATAGCTGCCCATTTTATGTAAAAATCTGAGTAAATTCCAACCAGGAGCAGAATGCAAAATTAAAGGGACATAACGAGATTCAATGCCAGGGAGATAGACAAGCCAAAAGAAGGATGGTGACACAGAAAAACATCATTTGTTAATCTGCTAGTATATGTTTAGACTAGTATTTATAAATAATCTAACAACTAGAATCTTACTTTTACATTCAGCATGATTGTGGCAGGTTTGTAATAAAATGTGACTCATACACAGATTTATGGAGTTGACAGGCAGACTAAAGATATATTGGAACTGGGTTGGATAAGGGTGGTAATTCTTCCTTTAAGTTTATAAATTCGTAAAGTTCAATAAAAATATAATTGTTGCTCTATGGATGTATTTTTGACCCCTCTCTAAAGCCAGCTTGTTCTGCAATGACATTGTTCTAAATTAACCAGTCAACCAATTCACCTTTAAAATGTCCAGCATACAGTTTATATAGTGGAACTGTTTAACAGATTAACAGAGTTGGAAGGGACCTTGTGGGTCATCTAGTCCAACCCCCCATCCAAGCAGGAGACCCTACATCATTTCTGACAGATGGCAGTCCAGTCTCTTCTTGAATGCTTCCAGTGGTGAAGCTCCCACAACTTCTGAAGGCAAGCTGTTCCATTGGTTGATTGTCCTCACTGTCAGAAAATTTCTCCTTATTTCTAGGTTAAATCTCTCATTGATCAGTTCCCATCCATTATTCCTTGTCTGGCCTTCGGGTGCTTTGGAAAACAGGTTGACCCTCCTCTCTGTGACAGCCCCTCAATCTAACAGTGATAGATTTCCCCAATTTTTAGGAAATATGAGCTATGCGATCTGAGTAAAAATATTTGCCAGAATTGAGGACCATTGTTTGTTCTTAGCCTTCAATAATTTTACAGGGAGAAAGTTTTGTCAGGGCTTTTACTTGCTTCAGCTGCATGGGGGAAAAAACCAACAGAAAATTGCAACCTGCTAGATCTTCTGGGCAAAGCAATGTACTATTGCTGAAGTTAGTGTTGTCCTGGAATTGAGCCTCTCTACATAGTATCTGATTTTTATTAGGTTAGGGTTAGGTTAGGATTCCCAAAATGTTTTAAATTCCATTCCCAAATGTACATCCCAAGTTTAAGCACCCATTCTTAGTGGCCAGGTATCTCTTTATCTCCTGTGCAACCTTAGAAAGCTTTTACATTAGCCACCCTTAAAGGGGGGAGGCGTTTAGCAAGACACCTACTCAACAGTTTCTTTGCTCTTGTCTATTGGGAGAAATTAATTCTATCACTCACAATCTCTTCCATGGTTGTAAGTCAAGGACTACCTGTAGTTCCATTGTAACCACTTCCGGAATACCACCAGGGATGATGCCATCTGAATGAAGGAATATTCTTCTGCAGTAGCAAAAAAAAAAAAAAAAAAAAGTCTCCAAAGCATGATATATTGGGGAACTCTAAAATCCCTATTGAACCAGATGAGAACACAGTCCTAAGAATTCCTGGAGTATTACAGCTATTGACCATGTAAGAGTGCTGGAAAGACAATAACTCAGGGGTACAACATACCTACATAATGAAGGGTTCTTGATACTTTCTGAGTTTGGTTCTTTTTTTGCAGACATTTCATTACCCAAACTAGGTGGCATCATCAGCTAGCAATGATGATGTTATCTAGTTTGGGAATGAAACATCTCAGAGAGCACCAAGGACCCCTCATTTCCCTGAGCCACACATTTTCCTTTATTGATACATAAATAAGACAGATTCAATCCTTTTAGGCTAAGTAAAGAAACATCAGAATTGTGTCTGAAACTTGAAACATGAATCTTTCTATTACCTATAATTATTTGTGATGTGTTTATAGAAGATACAGTTCAAAGCACTGGGAAACCATAAAATTATTCTTCTGTAGTTAGTCCAACTGAGGTAAAAGGCTGCTCTCTATGTTCTAAATATCACTATTCAAATATTGATATCAAATATTTTGTGCCTATATCTGTCACAAAAATATGAAATAGGGTCACTTTATTTGGAGTGTTTCTTGTTTAAAAAATGTGAACTGTGGGACATAAGTCTATTTTTATCTATTATACATATTTATGCTAAAATTGGTCTATGAAATTCAATGTGGAAGACTGCAATTTTTTTTAAAAAAAATTTTTTTGCTGCTGACAGAGAGATTGGTGTACAAAATAGTTCAGGGGATGGAACCAATAATTGTTTTAGATTCTCTTGGGCTAGAATTAAATTTTATAATTAAAAGCAGGAGATGTTCCAATTCAAATAACACTGACGCATAACATGGCATAATTTTTACCATCTGAACAGTTTCTAAGTTTTATTTCCAAACAGTCAAGTAAATTAAGTCTACAATTTAACACAGAGTTAAGTGTAGTCAAGGTTATTCACTATGACAAAAAATCCTAATAATGTCATCCTGTCTATTTACTTGGGTGTAAGCCCTAACATATTTAATGGGATTTTCTTCACTGAGTATAGATAAGTTTGTAATTTGATTTTTTTGATAAAATGAATCATATATCTTATAAATATATAAGATATATTTATATAAAATATATATTCTTTATATAAATATATAAAGAAAAATAAATCTTAAATTTTATTTTAAAAACTATTTTTAAAAGGTTTATATAAATGAAAAGAAATACAAATTCTATATATCATACCTTACTCCTTTTCTTAAAATGTTGACATATAGGAATAAATCTTCAGAACAAAAATTAAGCTATTTCCTATTGCTGGGGTATTCAAATGACTTACAATGGTCAAGAAAACAAAAGCATGCTAGGTATTTTCCAAGTTAAAACATATTAAAGCATATTAAAACATATTCATCAATTACACTACACAAAATAAAGGTTGTCTCAAAAAATGAATGTTCTCATTGGGCAATTTAAGTTTTAAATCAAAGTTGACAACAAAGCCTAAGATATCTCTCTATATGACCTATGGGTACCTTTTGCATATATAAACACAGATTAGCATTTCATGGCAATTTGTTAATTTAATTAGGTATTTTCAGGATTTATTTCTAGTATTACTTAAGCAGAACATCCCCTATTTCAGGCTTTTAGCTAAAGGTCATATGAGTGAATCTTGTTTTGCCAGGTGGATGTCTAACATATACAGGACTTTGATAAAAAACAGCTGTAGCTGCCTGATACCAGCTATGGCCGAACTGCAAACAAATATATCTTGGCCCAAATACTTGCCACATCTGCCAACAATTAGTTATCTATCAGAACTGGAAAGCAACACAGAATAAACATGATCTGATTTCAGAATAAGCAAACAAACAAGAACCTCAGCATCATTATTCGTCAAGTGGAGGTGAAGTTACCCAATGTGTAGACTCAGGCTCAAATCTGTCAACTGGTAAAGTTTATTGGGCAGTATTAGATAACAAAAGATCTGATGATCTGAATGCTTTACAGATGTTCTGGGACTGAACAAACCAATCTGTCTTTGGGCTCTTCAGGGATATCAGATATGAGTGTCATGGTACCTTCCATATCACCCTAAGCATGCCTGCATCTCTGCTTAATCTTCTTCCTTTGTTCAGAATCTTCTTCTTTTGTTCAGAACAAAATTTATGTTAACTTTATTAAAGTAGCACGTTCCAGAGGTTAGCAGACTTTCTGTCTCTTAGTGTAAATTTTGGTTCTTCAACTTAGTTTTGGGAAGTCAGAAAACTTATAGACTAGTCTATTTAGCTTAGTACTGCCTGCCAGATTTCTATATTCTTTATCTTCTCAATATACATAAAGCTTTTGGGAATTGAATTTGGCAGAGCACTGAAAGCAAATTATTTATTTATTTATTATTTATTAATTAAATTTCTATACCGCCCTTCTCCAAATAGGACTCAGGGCGGTGCACAGCCTAAGTAAAAACAGAGCATACAAAATTTAAAAAACAGTATTAAAATAATTAAATATTCTGGCCGTAAATTAAAACAACCCAATTTAAAATCAATTTAAAATTTAGCTCAAGCCAGCCCAGCTAGTTGAAATAAATAGGTTTTCGGGCCAGACGAAAAATCCGGAGGTCTGTTATTATACGTAACTCTGGGGGAAGGTTATTTCAGCGGGTGGGCGCCGTCACAGAGAAGGCTCTCCCCCTGGGGGTCGCCAGCCGACATTGTCTGGCGGACGGCACCCTGAGGAGGCCCACTCTGTGCGAGCGTACTGGCCGGTGGGAGGCTATTGGTGGCAGAAGGCGGTCTCGTAAGTACCCCGGCCCTAAGCCATGGAGCGCTTTAAAGGTGGTCACCAACACCTTGAAGCGCACCCGGAAGACCACCGGGAGCCAGTGCAGCTTGCGCAGGAGAGGTGTCACATGGGAGCGCCTCGTCGCCCCCATAATCCCCCGCGCGGCCGTGTTCTGGACCAGCTGGAGCCTCCGGGTGCACCCCAGGGGGAGCCCCATGTAGAGACCGTTGCAGTAGTCCAGGCGGGAAGTGACTAGTGCCTGAGTGACTGTGCGTAGAGAGTCCCGATCTAGAAAGGGGCACAACTGGCGTATCAGGCAAACCTGATAAAAAGCCCCCCTGGCCACGGCCGTCAAATGATCTTCTAGAGACAGCCATGCATCCAGGAGGACGCCCAAGTTGCGAGCCCTCTCCATGGGGGCGAGTGATTCGCCCCCAATAGCCAGCGATGGCGTCAGCTGGCTATATCGGGACGCTGGAAGCCACAGCCACTCGGTCTTGGAGGGGTTGAGTCGGAGCCTGTTTCTCCCCATCCAGGCCTGCACGGCCTCCAGGCACTGGGACATCACTTCAAGGGCATCGTTGGGGTGGCCTGGGGTGGAGATGTACAGCTGGGTGTCATCAGCGTACTGATGGAACTCCACCCCGAAGCCACGGATGATCTCACCCAGCGGCTTTACATAAATGTTGAACAGAAGGGGCGAGAGGACCGACCCTTGTGGCACCCCACAAGCAAGGTGCCTCGGGGTCGACCGCTGCCCCCCCGTCAACACAGATTGTGACCGGTCAGAGAGGTAGGAGGAGAACCACCGCAGAACGGTGCCCCCCACCCCCAACCCCGCCGCTGAGAGGTCTAACAGGACCAGGATAGAGGAGCAACCCCTATCCCAAGCCCTCCAGAGATCATCCACCAACGCGACCAATGCCGTTTCCGTGCTGTGCCCAGGCCGGAAGCCGGACTGGAGTGGGTCTAGATAGACAGTTTCATCCAGGTACCGGGGAAGCTGTTGCACTACCACACTCTCAACAACCTTCGCAACGAAGCGAAGGTTGGAGACTGGACGATAGTTAGCCAAAACAGCCGGATCCAGAGAGGGCTTGTTGAGGAGGGGCCTCACAACCGCTTCTTTCAAAGCGGCCAGCAGGACCCCCTCACTCAAAGAAGCGTTAACAATCTTCTGGAGCCAGCCTCGTGTCACCTCCCGGGAAGCCAGTACCAACCAGGAGGGACACGGGTCCAATAAACATGTGGTCACGTTCAGCCGTCCCAGGATCCTGTCCATGTCCTCAGGAGCCACGGGATCGAACTCCCCCCAGATAACACTCTCAAGACCTGGCTCAGTCATCCCATCCGGACATACCCAGTCAGAGGCCAGCCCTTCCCGAATCTGAGCGATTTTGTCATACAGATACTGCACAAAGTCCTCAGCTCGGCCCTGCAAGGGGTCATCCCGCGCTTCCAGATGGAGGAGGGAGCGGGTCACCCTAAACAGGGCGGCCGGGATTATCTGATGATGCGATAAGAGCGGCAAAATAGCTAGATTTCGCCGCTTTTATTGCCACTAGGTAGGTCTTAATATGAGACCTCACCAGTGTTCGGTCGGATTCGGAGCGGCTGGTCCTCCAACTACTCTCCAGGCATCTTTTCCGGCGCTTCATCTCCCTAAGCTCCTCGGAGAACCAAGGAGCTAGGTGAGTTCGGTGCTGGGTCAGAGGCCGCAAAGGCACGACACGGTCCAAGGCCCCGGCAGCCGCACTATCCCAGGCGGCCACCAGGTCCTCAGCCGAGTCATGAGCCAGAGTCTCAGGAAATGGCCCAAGCTCCATCTGGTACCTATCAGGGTCCATCAGGCGCCTGGGGCAGAACCACCTGGTCGGTCCCGCCTCCCTGCGGTGGGGTGCAGCGGTTAGAAAGTCCATTCGAAGGAGTGAGTGGTCAGACCATGACAAGGGTTCGATGACTATATCCCCTGTATCAAGGCCACTCGACCACTGACCAGAGACAAAAACTAAATCCAGAGTGTGTCCACCCGTGTGAGTGGGGTCATGAATTAACTGAGTAAGGTCCATGGCCGTCATGGAAGCCATGAACTCCCAAGCCACCTCAGACGTTTCGCCGACAGATGGCATGTTGAAATCGTACCAACCGCCACCTCAGCTATGACGTTGAGCAGCTCGAGCAGGGCCG